TCAACGAATCCAAATGAGATCGCGTTGGGTGCGTCCATACTGTTTTCGTAAATTATTATGAGCGAAAAGTTTAAGCGAACTATCCATCCTGCTGGGGCAACTAGAAATGTCACACCAGGGTCATACACACTATCGCCAGTGTACCAGGTACACATCACAGCACGTACCTGCTCCTGGAGAAAACTAGCCCTAGTGCCGCACAAGACAAATTCTTCCCGCGGTTCGCATATTTAATTCTTCCATAGGGATTAAGGGATTTTATACTATTTTTGTCTGGAGGATGCTATGGCCCCCTGCAGGTAGGGCGTAAGAATTGTACCTGCTGCCCCCAATTGCATGATCGTAAGAGGCGACTAAATTTGGGACCTTATCTCTTCTCTCCTTTCTAAATAACTTTCTTCTTCCTAATGTCTCCCATGACAATGCCTCACTTTTGGCCATTTGTTGAGCGTTCGCCCCTGTGAGGAAGGCTTTGGGTTCTGTCCCCTGGCCGAGACATATCAAAGTCTTTAAAAATGGTAGTTTATACTCCTGCTTAACGCTCAGCAAATAAGGAGTGGGACGACTGGTTCGCCCGTTGTCAGTATAATGTGACCGGGTGGGGCGTCCGGCTGGGTGTCTTAGGCGGTATGTTTCAGTGAGGTAGCACTATAAAGTCGGCATCAGTGCCGCGCTATCACAAGGAGACAAACACGAACATATCGCAGCCTCCCAAAATACATACACATACACTACACGCATGCATCTTGCACACAGGGGAGGCCGTCCTTAAATTACCTTAGCTGTTAATAGGACGTTAAACAAAATCAAACAAACAAACAAACAAAAATGCTATGGCCAAGGGGTCTCAATTTTGTAAAATTGGGGCATATGGGTGGAGCTCTGTTTGAAGCTTGTTCTCGCTATATCTCAAGTACTGAATGGATTTTTCTGAAATTTTATATGTACTTACAGCACCTACCATTGAGTGCTATATCTTTACTTCATACCAATTATTTTAAACGTATTCAGATGAGCGATACAGGCCCTCTGCGCCTCTTGTTCTGATTTTATATGAGGAAAATCGGAAGAACACAAACACCCAACCCAGGATTTACAATATTGCACAGATGTCAGGTTTACATCTTTGTGATCATGCACGAGTTTGACAGTCATTGGCGAAAGTATAATTTATAAAGTAAATAGGACTGTAAAAATGTAACAATATTTATAAAAAATGAAAACAGGAATTCAGTAAAGTTTTGTATCACTAAAGTAGCCGATTCTACCAAATATGTTGTTTTGTCTTTTCGCCCCAAAAAGACCAGATTAAACAACTTTTAATTCTTGTTTCTTCTTTCCTTTGGCCAAAAAGAGCAGTAGAAAAGAATCCATGCAAATAAGTTACCTTCAATTATTGTCCTTTTGTGGAAGAAACCCACTTAAGCTAAATAGCAAAACGTGAAAAATACCACAATTCAATGCATAGCTACTTTTTGAGGCGAAAGACAAATCAGCAAAATGACATCAATCAGTCGCACAGCCCTACACAAATGGCAGTCTAAAGTTAGGTTTTCATTACATTTAAAGATTTCCCCAGGCTGGTGGATGATTTGTCTTTGGCTCTCGAGGATTGTTGAGTAGCTCGCCTATTGCCCTCCACTCGTGCTACTGCAAAGCCTCGATTTCGCAGAAAGAGGGGGACTATATATCCTCCATCACAACCACATGCACTTTAGATTCTGTAATGTCACTGTCTTGTGAAAAAATGTCTTTCACATAATATTTAACCATGAAGGACTCAATTATTAGCTCACCTGGCACGAAGTCAATATTTTACTTTAAACGACTTCTTCTTAATAACCGAAAGGCCTAGGGTGATGATATTTGGCCAGAAGCAAACTGGGATGAAGGGCTACCAAGTTTGTTCAAATAAATGACCTTCATCTATTTTCAAGGTCACAGGGGTCAAATATGTTAAAAACTTTAAACAACTTCTTCTCAATAACCAAAATGCCCAGGGTAATGATATTTGGCCAGTAGCATGCTGAGATAAAGGGCTACAAAGTTTGTTCAAATAAATGACCTTCACCCATATTCAAGGTCACAGGGGTCAAATATGTTAAAAACTTTAAACAACTTCTTCTGAATAACCAAAATGCCCTGGGTGATGATATTTAGTCAGTAGCATACTAGGATCAAGGGCTACCAAGTTTGTTTAAATGTATGACCTTGAATCATATTCAAGGTCACAAGGAGCAAATATGTTTAAAATATTTCAACAACTTGTTCTGAATAACCAAAAGGCTCAGGATGTTGATATTTAGTTAGTAGCATATGCTGGGATCAAGGACTACTATGTTTGTTAAAGTGAATGACTTTGACTTATATTCAAGGTCACAGGGGTCAAATTTGTTTAAAATCTTTAAACAACCTCTTATGAATAACCATGGGTCCCAGGATGTTTATACTTTGCAAGTTGCATCCTGAGATGAAAGGCTATACAATGTGTTCAACATAATGACTTTGTTCGACTTTCAATCGCAGGGGTGAAATGTTTTAAAAAAAAATAGCAGGGTCTTTTGAACAAATTTTAATCATAAAAACTGATATTTTGCCTGTAGCTTTATTTTAGATCACTTTTAAGGTTACAAGTGTGAGTTTAAAACCAGGTGAGCGATGCAGGCCCATTGGGCCTCTTGTTTAGTTGAGCACAGTCCAACGAATTGAAACACAAATTATTCAAATCTACATTGCAACGCAAAACAGTTCACGGACAAGCAAATACAAGTTATCGCTTGGACATATTTAAGTCCACCACGATCCTTCTTCCCTGTCCAATTTTTAAATTTATCCAAGAAAGTGCACCTGTCAGTCTTGCACTCTAGCTTGTCAACACATAATAACTTAGTATCTTTACATATAGAGTTGATTTTAAAAAAGCGTTTGCGCAGTGCTCTAATAATGTGTCCAGAAATATAAAATAAAACGGATTGATCGGAATGTGAAAATTAAGATTGCTTATTTACACAACTTGTACAGTTGATAATTATTCCATAAGTCCTAAAAGTAACTGCTGAACAAAGTTGTTTATATCACAACCAGTCTTTACACTCTTAGCTGGTAAATAAACACAAACTCGAACACAGTGTAACTTGTTAAAAAATGACTCGCGGTCTTCAGCTAAACACAAATTAAAAGTAAACAAGGCAAAAAAGTCTTGGAAATGAGATTTTATACGGGAGTTACTCTTCAAAACATTTGCTATTTCAACAACTGAAGGTGCAACTAAATATTTTAAACTATCACTCTTTTACACTTTCCTCAAAAGCAGTTAAAAACTTGTTGAGATATCTTTGTCAAGAAAATGTTTCCCTGTTGACTTCTTCAAAGATGGTGGAGTATCAGATGCTGATGCTGAAGCAGAATTCTTATCTTGTAGTCTATGATCACTTGCTGAAATAGAAGTTAGCACAAGAGTTGGTATGTAATTCCCTCACTTTCTGGTAACAAGAAATCTTCATTTACATCTTAATTTTTTTCTATGAAAATTTTTCAAACTAATGATGACCGAGACTTATTCAAACAAGTGGCCAATAGCCACATAGCTTGATGGCAAAATATACTACATACAGATATTTGTTTGTGCCATTTTGACTTTGAAATTTGATAAAAGATTTATTTCAACTATAAACAATAATAATTGCTTCATATACCAGTACCTATTAATTAATATTTTACTGTCTTTGAGATGAAATCAGTGAACTTTTTTATCCAATTTTGAGTAGTGTCATGTTTATTACTAATATCCAAATATGAGGTGTATTGTTCAAAAATACTACATAAAAATGTATATCTGGCACAAGTTTCAAAGTTTAATTTTTGCTGAACAATAATGGGTTTTCATATTCAGCACGCACAACACTCTATACAGTAAATGCTTCACATCTAGATAGCCTAAAACAATTTAAAGATCATCATTCAAATAAAGGTTATGCAACCTTACACTACCTGACACATTTTAATTATTTTATCTCACTAACACTCAAATCTATGCATCTAAAAGTTGTTCACCCTCAGCACTAAAAGGTATGCAACACTTGAAACTATATATATGCGGTAAACATCCAGACACCGCACCGTATAAAAACAAACGTAAACACGGGACCTTTTAGTTTCCGGATTGAATCCTTTATTTTCATTATTTACTTTTATTAGCTTCCTTTTCGTTTTAAATGTGAATCAATACACTATATATAATATGCTTAAATTATGGCGATTAATGGTTAATAAAAATAAGATTTGAAAAAAAACATGTTATTATACAATATTGCTTGTTTACTACAAAATGAAAACGCTGTTTTTATACAATATAACATGTTTACTACGTAATGAAAAAAATAAAACGATATTGTATTTCTAGTACATTATGATACTGTATATACATGTAACTTGACTTATAACATGGTATTGTATTTCTAGTACATTATGGTATATTACTTGAGTTATAACATGATGTTGTATTTCTATTGCATTATGATATATATATGTAACTTAACTTATAACATATTATATTTCTGGTACATTATGATATATAACTTAAATTATAACATGATATTGTATTTCTAGTACATTATGATATATTACTTGAGTTATAACATGATGTTGTATTTCTAGTACAATATGATGTCTTACTTATATTGTAACATGATGTTGTATTTCTGGTACGTTATGATGTATACACGTAACTTGAATTATAACATGATGTTGTATTTCTGGTACATTATGATATATAACTTAAATTATAACATGATGTTGTATTTCTATTGCATTATGATATATATATGTAACTTAACTTATAACATATTATATTTCTGGTACATTATGATATATTGCTTGAATTATAACATGATATTGTATTTCTAGTACATTATGATATATTACATATATTGTGACTTGATATTGTATTTCTAGTACATTATGATGTATACATGTAACTTAAATTAAAAAGTATTTAATAAAACAAAAAACAAAACAAAAAACAACTATATTTCAAAGGATTTATTGAGCACTCACTTGACCAGTCATTCACTGAACAGGAATCATTAACATGTACTACGCCAGCTGCTTGTTGATTGTGATCTTAATTCACATCCATGAACGTTTGGGAGAAATCATCAAACTCATGGAAAGAACATCAAGTAAGAAAACTGATTTATTTAGTAAATCTTGTAGCCTCCCACATGTGAATTTTTATTTTACATCTTAATTGAAATTTTAAACATATTGCAAAATCAAAACATTTCACAATAGAAATGAAGTCATAATACATATATCATTGAAGGATGATTACAAGTTAGACAACTTAGACTCGGGCATTTGAAATGTTCAACTTGACCAATAAACATGAAATTGGAACATGTAGAAATTCTTCAACCGATTCTAAAGGACATCATTTCACTTCCTCTACAAATCGGGAACTTTTCAACAACAAGTAAGTTTATGCAATGTTATTAGCATAGGAATGGTTTTATCAATTTTATTACAAGGATATTACAAAATATTTTACATACTAAATGAACATCAAAATTTAGATCCCGTAAGGGCTACAATTCAAATAAGAACCCAAAGGAGCAAATCTCAAAGGACGAGATATAGCACACTCACCATACCCGAACCATCCTTATCAGGTAGGTTTCCAAATTTCTTATATAACTCAACTCATTCAATGCTTAAATTTAAAAGAAAAGTCGTTTAACCAAATTAACATCCAAATTTAAATCCAAATAATGTATAATGAATCATTTTCTAATAAAAGTAATAATAATTTTACAATACATTTTTTTCTATAGATTCTGATTGTGAAACAATCCTGACACCTTTAAGAAGACCATATCAGGACACCATGAGGAGAATGAACAGGTTTTTGAACCATGTTCCCAGTAGGTTTCCCATCCACCTCAACTCTTTCACTTTATTTAAATTGTTTTACGGCATTTATATGAAATTTTGGAATGCATATTAAAATCAAATTAACATCAACATTTAACATGCATAATAAAATAATTTCAATAATACATGAATCCTTTTCACACTAGACAGTGATGTAATGCCGCCTCTGGAACCCACAGGGAAACTATCAACAAATGACATCCTAGCCCATGAAATGGTCAACAGGTACGATTTTCTTTTACACTTTTACTAAAATAAATCAACAATTTTGCTTAAAAAATATTCATGAACAAATATTTGACATCATAGATTTGTTTTCGGAAAATATTTATAGTGTGCTATTTTATTCTTTTTTAGGGCAAGGTCAAGGCTAAGTAGATAACTTTTTAAATTGTAAAAAAAAAAAATCAATAAAAAATTTGATAACCAAACATGTATCTTTTTAGTTGGAATGGATAAGCTAGGCATAACAAGTTTTTCACAATTCTCTTATTAGCGTTTTCCTCGATACGATTTCTCATGTAGGAATAAAGTCTCCCCTCAAATACTTCCATTATAAATTGGCACGATACTGTGTAACCTATAGGGGTATGACCATTTGTAAATACACACGATCTGTCGACAACTTTTTACGCTCGATTTCGACGGAATCGTAGGATTTCCAGGAGCTTAAATGTACTCCACACATGAAACGGGCGACTTTATCGCTGTGTCATGAATAAAAAAAATCCGTTACGGGCGAGTTCGTTTGGAGTCTGACGTATTTGTTGGGACCAGTTTTGGACTTTTTCAATCGATCCTCACATTTCATCATAGACTGATGTATTGGTCGTATGTGATATGAAGTATGACGGATACATTCTGTCGTAATAATTGACATGTCAATGTATAAAATCGCTTATACACTGTAAACTTTCCGATAGAAACAGTATCTTTATAAAATACTCTCCTGTTATTTGTATACTCTTCCCGTCTACTTTTAAACAGATCTTCAGCTCACCTTTGACTTTTTTCACGATGATTTCTTGCGTAATTCCGAGACGACAGTCTACTTTACTTGTCAGTGTGAGGTCATCCGTGGCTATCCGATTGATGATCTCTTGAGCCATTAGTGGTGCCTTCAAATGTCTGCCTGGTATATATACAATGTCGCCCTCGCCGTGGACATGCAAAAAAGGGGAGGTATTACCTGTTGTGACTTGTTTATTTTAAGAACGGTCTGTTAAAGCTTTAAATGAACTCTTAATCTGAAACATACTTTCCCTGATCCTCCCTTTACATTCAAGGTATACCCTTCACACGTGGGCGGTCTTTCCAAGGCTACCCCTTAGGCTATACATTCCAATGATGTCACGGTGTTACCGGTGTTAGATCCTCCCAGATCATCCCACATGTGGGTCCCCCTAGGCTATACATTCCAATGGCGTCACGGTTTTACGGGTCACTGACCCTCCCTGACATAACGGATCAGTTACCCGTAAAAATAACTACTTCAGAGGACCTTCTTCTGTCACAGTACAACAACAAACCAAGACTCTGGGGGGGGAACAGACGCAGGTCAGAGGACCTTCTTCTGTCGCAGTACAACAACAAACCAAGACTCTGGGGGGGGACAGACGCAGGTCAGAGGACCTTCTCCTGTCACAGTACAAGAATGGTACCGCGCAAAAATCCATAACGAGGAAGTCTGTGATCTCCAGAAGGAACCCTTGAAATACAAATCAAGACTCGGGATGGGAAAAGGATGACACATTTGTGTTTAGCCTGTCTGTTATACCTTAGGCCTAGAAATTAAGGTAATTTTATGTTGTTAATATATGTTGTATTTTATCATTTGAAGAAAACAGACAGGCATAAATCATATGGCCTCCTATTTATTCCTCGCTCTACATTTCCCAGTGCTTGTTGATAATTACCAACTTGGTGAATCAGGGCAGCAAATATAATATCTGAAAATGATTGAAATATATTTACCTCTTTGCTTTCTTCTACACATGCAGATTCGACAGCATACTCCAATAATGGGTATTGAAGCCGCTGAAAGAAGAAAACAAAAAGTTTATGTATTGAGAATTAAACAGTTATATTAATAGTATACATATTCTTGTTAACTATAACTAACAAGAGCACCACAAGGTGGAAACATACACACCCACTCGATGTCAAAATGACATGGAGAATTGCTCAATCAAAATACTGCTTGAGAAAACGCTTCTACAAAGTTAATGATAGAAGGCTTAATGAGTTTAAAACTGAGGGAGGAGATTTTCAAACACCAATTTATAAACTTACATTATATCCATGGCCATATTATTAATGGAGTTGATGACGTGAAGGTGGATGTTGTAGTCGATGAATCATCAGTCTTAAAAATAAAATGTATATGTTTAACAATCTTTTAACAAAAAACAAAAACAACTCGATTGAATTTGGTAAATATATGTATATTTTTAAAAAAAACATACCTGAACAACGAATGAGGCCAACGATATAATATCCCCTCTTCAAAGTGGGTTTAGAAATAGAAGAGGGACAAATGACCATCTCATCAGATTAGAGACGTTCATTCGAGAGGCTTTCGCCAAGAAAGAACACCTTGTCTCCGTGTTCTTTGATCTTGAGAAGGCCTATGATACTACATGGCAGTATGGCATCATGAAAGATCTTCACGACCTTGGCGTACGTGGAAACCTCCCCAATTTTATATCCAATTACCTATCAGATAGACACTTCAAAGTCCGCGTTGGTTCAACTTTCTCTGAAACGTCTAAACAGGAAATGGGAGTCCCACAGGGTGGAATCCTATCAGTCACACTGTTTGGTCTTAAAATCAATGATATAGTCAAATGTCTTGGTCAATCAACAGAAGGGTCGTTATTTGTGGATGACTTCTTGATCTGTTACAGATCTAAGAACATGCACACGATAGAACGACAACTTCAACAGAGTTTAAACAAACTACAAAATTGGGCAGACGAAAACGGCTTCAAATTCTCTAAATCCAAAACTGTGTGCATGCATTTCTGTCAAAAACGAAAAGCACACAATGACCCAAATCTAACACTCGATGGCACTAGAATTCCTGTTGTTGAACAGACTAAATTTCTCGGCCTCATTTTTGATTCGAAACTCTCTTTCATACCACATATAAAGTATCTGAAGGATAAGTGTTCCAAGGCGTTAAACATTATACGAGTCCTTTCTCATACTGATTGGGGAGCGGATCGTGAAATGCTTTTGCGCCTATACAGATCACTTATTCGAACAAAACTGGATTATGGTTCTATGGTATACGGGTCAGCGCGCAGTTCGTACCTTCAGATGCTAGATCCAATCCATAACCAAGGGCTACGTCTTGCCCTGGGAGCTTTTCGAACAACACCTGTAAAAAGCCTGTACGTGGAAGCAAATGAACCATCCCTTTATGACAGAAGAATAAAACTTTCATTACAATTTGCAACTCAATTAAAATCAAACCCTAAAAATCCTGCTTTCAACCAAGTATTCAACCCCAAATACCAAAACATATTTACGCAAAACCAAAAACTTCTGCCAACATTTGGTATCCGAATTTTGAATTTCCTGCAAGAACTCAACATAAAATTGACGGACATAGCTGAATTTAACATATCTGATGTTCCTCCGTGGACCATTCAAACCCCCGATTTTAACTTTACATTACATGAGCGAGGGAAATCAAGTGTTATGCCCGAAGAACACAAATCCTCCTTTCGGGAATGCATTTCGAATTACCCTTCTCATACACAACTTTACACCGATGGCTCCAAAGAAGGTGAGAAAGTGGCAGCAGCCTGCTGTACTGCCAATACTTGCACTTCAGTCCGACTACCAGACGGCGCCTCCATCTTTTCTGCTGAAGCATGCGCCATTGGTTTGGCCCTCGACCATATCGATGAACACCGCATTAAAAAGGCAATTATTTGTTCAGACTCTCTATCTGTCCTACAGAGTTTACAGTTACGAGATCCTAAAAACACAATCGTACAAAACCTTGCTC